ATAAAGCGACTCAGTAAAGCCCTGCGAATGACGTTCGGCGTAGTCAAGAATAGCCTCCGCGTAAAAGAAGGAGTTTGGCGCGCCGAACTGTCGAAACGCGGGTGTTTTTCGCGGTGGCTGGAATGGAGACCCACAAAGCTTAAACCCTCAGGACAGAGAATAGAGGATATTCTCAATACCTTTGCTAATAGATCTTTCAATATCGCGCGTTAGAAGTTATCTTACTTCCTCGATAGCTGTTCGTAGTGTGGAAAGGGAGATGTCAAGTATTTGGTCAAGTACCCGTTCCATTATGGAGCCAAATCGGGAAAGGCTTGGCAGCAGTAGCAATAGAGCGAAGTCAAGCAAGAGCACAAAGAGAACATGGAGATTATTGAGTTGAAAGAAAACCGTACGGAAATATCGAGTGAACTCGATGACCAAATTGATGCATACGAGAAGACACGGAGAAGCTTGAAAGTGTTCGAATATCTTTATTCTTTGACTGGCATTCAAGTCCCTTGTCTCACGTATCACTGTCGTTCGATTCCTCGAGCATGTTTCATCTCGACTCGAACACTTCAGCTTTAAATATTTTCTTTGTTCTATTTTGAGGAAGCCCGTTGTATTACCCTCCTGTCCAAATTGGCACACCCTTGATCCCATCATGTAGTTGCCATTTCGCCTTTATATTGGTTCCAAGATACATGCTAGTATACAGGTGTGAAGAATGGTGTTATAGTGTGAAGTGCAAATCATGATGTGCGATGGGTCAACATGACAAAGCAGCGTAGAATATAGGACGACAATGCAAGCCGTTAAGGATCATGTAGATTTAAGAAGCAGCCGGTAGAATCGTTCAACAAGTCCAGGCCGCCACAGTACCGTCCTTGCGGCCTTCGAGCAAGTATCCGTCCTTGAGCCGTACTCGCTCGACTGTCGCAGGCGCCGGGCCGGACTCATCTGCACCAACCCCAGCTCCACAGTCCCAGTGGTGTCCATCGGCCTTATCATATACTTTCACAACGTTCTCTCCAGCCGCAGCGACTATGCGTTTCGTGTCGAACATCATGCTGGTGATTGGCTTGTCATAGGCGTAGGCATCGAAGATGGAGCCCATGCGTAGATCCCATATCTGCAGTCGTGTCAGAATCCAGGAGAAAAGACATACAGAAAGAAGACTTACTCTAATGCTGCGGTCCTGACTTCCCGTCACCAAGTGCACTTCGTCAAATTGCAAGCACGTGATGGGCCCAGTATGGCCCACGAGGCTACGATGAACCTGACCGCTACGAAGATCCCATAGGCGGACCATACCGTCGGCAGTACCGCAAGCAAGCGCAGCATCAAAACACTGGAGTGCGCCGACGAAATCCGCAGATGCGTCCGGGAGGCGTCCCGAAGGGCGCCATTGTGTGTCAGCAGCGAGGGTTGACGCCTGGGCTGCGGCCCATAAGACATCTAATGTCTGGACGCAACGTCCTTTGACAAGATCCCACTGCCGTAAAGTCTTATCCGCGGAGCCGGAAATCAGCGTGTTCCCTCGGAAATGGAGCGCTGTCACTTCATCAACGTGGGCGTCGAGTGAAAACACATAGCAGTCCTCCAAAGTAGTTGCAGAGAACAATGAGAAAGCATCTGACGCATTGTCGTCCTCCCCTTCACCCTCTTCATGTTTGTTGAGACGGTTGTCACGGGTCACAGTCCGAGCACGACTCAAGTCCCAGAGTTTGACCGAAGCGTCCATAGATCCTGTAGCGACAATGTTGTCTTCGACCTGCAAACACCGGACGGAGGCATTATGGCCCTCCAAAAACCCCGTACAGCGGCCAATATTAAGGTCCCAAACTCTGACGGTGTCATCCAGAGCGGCGCTCACCATCGTACCAAACGGGTAATCGAAGTCAATGGCTGTCACCATGTCAGTATGGGCTTGCATTTCCTTGATCTGTGATCCGGGCGCGAAGTGTTCGTGTAGGATAGGCATCGAGCGTTTCCCTAAGCGTTGTTAGTGGCGGATGGTAGAGTAACGAGCTTTGGTAAACAGTACTTATAGAGCGCTGTTTCAGACTCCTCGGCGAATGTGAAGGTAGTTTCTGATAAATGGATTCTGACATGAAAGACGCATCCATAGCCGCGTCTTCCGAAACGAACGAGTCATCGTTCACTGCCGAGGATTTCGGGGTTGCAGCTGTTACAGGAGTCTTCGGCGCTTCCTCTTGGATATCCTCAAGCTTGTTGTCGATTTCAGTCACTGTCAGGTGTCAGAAACAGTACCATGAAGGCTCGAATTCGCCATAACCCACATTGATGTTCGAGCTCCGCCTCTTCCATCTCTAACCCCGCCAACCGATCCAGCACGATTTTCCTCATGTTGTGCAGGTTAGCGATTTTGTTGTCAATCTCGTGGATTTCCGAGCTGCACATATTCTTGCGCACACCCATAAGGTCCAGCCGCCGGCTCAACAGGTCCCGTTCCTTCTTCAAGTCCGTCGGCGCGGATGGAAGAGCCCCGGCCGCCTCGCCATCTTTCAGCAGCTTCTTCCCCTTGGAGCTGCGCCGTCGGTGGGCTTTCCTGAATTCATGGTCGTCTTGGGTGGCCTTGAAGCCCTCGAACAGAGAGTAGGAGCTAGAGTCTTCGGGAATGTTTGCGAGGAGCTCGTCGGGAAGAGAAGAGAGGGCGCGCGATTGAATTTCAGATGTTGAGAGCTTGGAGCGAACGAGGTCGGTGGGAGTGGTTTGTGTCAGGGAAAAAACTTTGCGCTGAGTTGTCGGCCGCCGTAACTCGCGATGTATGTCGGCCATGGCAGTGTGGTAATGGCCGCCATTGCTTGAATCGGTGATCGGTCCCATCAAATGCCCTGCAGTCGATGTGACTTTTCTCCCGAAGGCTTCGATATGTCGGCTCTGTACATGTTGAAGCAATATCAGCATACACTATTGACCATGCCCGTACCACGAAAGTCATAGACGAACGCAGACACCGAAGGGAGCAAGGAAAAAGAAAAGAAGCGCACCGTTAAGCCGATCCCTAAAAGACCATCCGGCTCGACAATATCTGATAAACCAGAAGGCGACTCATCGCGGCGCTGTGTCGCCATGAGGCTAACCGGAGGGTCCTTTGAGGCTGAAAGACTCAAAAACCCATACGGCTTATCCGGACAAAATAGAAGAGTCGAATCGCTTCAAGGGCGACTTTTCGGCACTCGGTCGGCTCGCTGGAAAAAGATCAAGAGTTGGTCTGGGGTTGCACGCGATGAATTACCGTGTCTCCGAGCTGCCGTATTATTGTTACCGCCAGCTAGCGAGGGACAGCTGCCTCGATACTCTGAGAGTCCCTTACCTATGTCGATAAGCGAAGGGATGCTCAATAAATATTCTGGGATAGGGGTTTTATCACGGCCTAGATGGTAATACTAGAGCCGATCTTCAAAAAACTAGCCTCTAGATGTAGAAGAAAAGATGTTTCCCAGCTCTTTAAGCTGTGACGGAGGAGGCTTAATGTTCGAGAAATACCACATGACCGAAGTGAAATACGGAGACCATGATACCTAGGTATCTACCCTCAGGTAGCTTAGCTGACTTCTCTGACTTCTGCTACCTATTAGTTGAAAAGAATGAGGTCAATCAAAACCTTTGGCTCCTCATGATGTCTTACACGATTTGGAGCGAAGATGAGCTCCACGGTCACCGAGGCTGTGCTTTCCTAGTCCGGCGCTGATGTTGTCCTACATAAACTGGATGAAGCTGCCCGACCATCGGCGCCGATTTCTTCCCCTTAGCTCAGAATAACCAAAGATCCTAGAAACTGGGGAAGCTTAGAGAATACCCGACGACCTGAGCTCAACAGAAGCATGGATGCTGCAATTGATCTTTCAGACGCCTCCAAGGCGTTGGATCTGGCCAATATCAGATTCCAGTTGATGTAAGTCCGAATTCTTCCTTGCTGCTGCCCCGCACATACATTACCATCTCCGACCCCGGGTATTTCTTCATGTTCACTGTAGAATGCGTTCGCTGATTGGAGTCTTATAATTTCCCCTCTATCTCAGTCGTCTAGAGGATACAATCACTTTCCACTTGATCGAGCGTGTTCAGTTCCCCCTCAACAAGACCATCTACATCCCCGGCGGGGTCAAGATCCCAGGCGATGAGGTCAGTTTAATGGACTACCTGCTCCGAGAGCAGGAGCGGCTACAGTCCCGCGTTCGTCGCTATGAGTCTCCCGACGAATACCCTTTCTTCCCCGAGGTGCTCGAAAAGCCCATCCTGCAACCCCTCGAGTACCCCAAGATCCTCCACGACAACGATGTCAACGTCAACGAGATCATCAAGAAGCGATATATCGAGAATATCCTTCCCGCAGTATGCGCCCACTTCGAACGCGAGGATCGAGGAGAAGCAAAAGAGAACTACGGGTCTGCGGCGACGTGCGACGTAAGCGTGCTGCAGGCGCTTTCGCGTCGCATTCACTTTGGCAAATTTGTGGCGGAGGCCAAGTTCCAGAAGGATCCTGAGTTGTTTGTCAAGCTGATCAAGGCCAATGATCGGGCCGGAATCGATGCGGCCATTACCGATGCAAAGGTAGAACAGAAGGTGCTGGAGAGATTGGGCCTCAAGGCCAAGACCTACGGAACCGACCCTGCGTTCCCGTCGGAGACAGGGCCGAAGATCAATGTGGATGCGGTGGTTGCCATGTACAAGGTGAGTGAGAAGTTTGACTGCATTGGAAAGCGAGCGTCGCTGATTCCGGAAACAGGAATACGTCATTCCTCTGACCAAGGTGGTGGAAGTCGAGTACCTCATGCAACGGCTGAAAGGCACTCAATGGGAGTGAGCGATTTAAGTAGCCTCGCCAGTATATATGATGTATTGATGGGAATGATGTATCTTATACCCTCACGAAAAGAAAAGAAGCTGTAATCTCTGAGTTGAATGATGGATATAGACATGCATGTGTCGGCTAATACTCATACTTTTGTTCTTTCGTCATGAAATCATTGGCTGTAGCCCTGATAGGCCTATACAGGAGGTTTCAAATAATCCGTCACATCTTTGACTGCAGCTTCCAGTTTCGGGCCGTCGATCAATATCAGACTTCCCGATGTCTTGATGCCGAGATCCTGGAAAGCCCGCTTTGAGTCTGAAAGGCTGTCGTCGTGCTTATGTGTATACTCGATCGAGCCAGAGCAGATCGCATGTCGCTCAAGCACCTCATCCTCGGGGTGAAAGAAGAATCGCTCGACATTGCTGCCAGACTTCTTCTTCTTCTTCTGCGGCCGCGACTCTTCCATGTCCAGTTTGGATTCGACCTCCTCGTATGTCTTGGAGACAATCAGATAGTGGGAGAAATTGTAGGGCTCCTTGTCTTCAATGGCCCACGCGATCTCCTCCAGAAGCATGCTATACATTGGAGGAACGACTTCGGCAGGCATGTTGATCAAGCGCTCGGTGAGAATCAGTCCAATTGGAGGGATGGGTGATTGAGAAAGGAGCTCCGAAAGAGGTGCGAGGGAAGGATTGGACGAGGCTTTGCGTTGTAGGTAAGATGTCAAATCCTTGATCACGGGTTTATCCTGAACAAGTAAGCCTAGCTCCTCTCAGTCCTCGAAGAACAAGTGGAAATACCTTGTGCTCTTGCAGGTTCAATACGGTCAAGAAGGCATATGGATCGGATTCATTGCCGTCCACCTTCACTGTCGATCCGAGCAAGGGCTGTGCTAGTATCAGATCCGTTAACGCGGACAGGTCGAAGATCTGAGAATCCGCATCGAACAATTGTCGGAGGAGATTCTTGAGTCCGTGGAAATCCACCGCGGGCTGTGGATCAAACCATTCGAAATCTACATTCACCATATCCATTTCCTGGTCACAAAACATCGTTAGCACGAAGATGCGATAGGAGCAGGAGGGGAAGTCTATACCTCGTCGGACTCATCGTCCTCCACCGGGCGCCCGGTACCGCCCATCTCGACGTCATTATCTTTCAGTTCTTTTCGCTTTCCCATTCTGAATGTCTCTTGATAACAGTGTGATCTGTAGGATCGAGAAGCGTCTTTCTTGGCCGTCGAAGTTCACCGGACTTTCTTCGTCGGCGGTCAATAAAAGATGCTCCGATACGGCCCCTCGCTAATTTTTTCGGACCTTCGCTTTATCTGCAGCTTATCGCAAGCACGTGACCTGTCTCTTTATCTGGGGATCTATAGTGTCATCGCGACAAGCATTCAGAAAATGAGTTAGGTACATGTCTCTTAGGATAATCGTGCCCTGGGCTGGAGGCAGGGCACGACATTTGCTTTACAGTCTAAGATTCTATACTGGAGCTCACATTGTGGCTCGTCATGAAGGAACGGCAAGGCGAGCTTTCTCTGCACTAGCCATCCCATCGATAAAAAGTGCATATCTTCTAGGACCATCTATCATGAAAGTAAAGAATCATACGTCAGCTTCCACTTCCTCAACAGTAGGAACCTTGTCCAAAGTTACGCCAAAGAACCGCGCCACCAGCTGCACACAATCCCAAACAACCTGCACCTCCTCCCTGGACAGCCCCAACCGCCTTGTGCCCCGAATATGCCAATGCGTCTCGGTCCTGAGATTCTGGCTCATGATCGCCGGCAACACAACCATCTGCGTATCCACATCATCCAGAACCTGCCGATCAGACAGAAACAGCCCGTAGGTGATCTCCCTCGATAACCAGGCGAAGTCCTTGTGCCCATCGAACAGGTCCAGCGTGTTGGACGCGTTGCGCGCGTACAGCTTGCCGAACCAGTCCATCCCGCGCTCGTGGTTGGCTGCGTCGCATTGCCAGTTCTCCCGCGTGCAGGTGTACTCTTTGTCTTCGTCGCGCTCGACCTTGCCGATGGCTAGGATGGCTTCGATGGGCTTGCAAACGCCGACGATGATGACGGATTTGAAGAGGGCTTCTCGTAGACGCTTGACGAGGGCTTGTCGGGCGCTTGCGGACTCATGGCCTGGCTGGTTGATGAGGTGGAGGTAGAGCTGGTCTGCGCGCTCGGGGTCGGAGCTGGCGACGATGGTTGCGATTGCGAGAATGTACCATTTGTCTGCGGGGAGGCTGGTGGATCTGAACCTGGATTCTATTTCTAGGAACAGTTGTTCATAGCGAGGGTCGATAGATGTCATTGTGATTACTGTGGGTCAACTAATGGGTTGAATATCGAGGTTAGCATAGAGAAGGATGATTTAGTCTCTGAGTGGGCTGTGGTGATTATGCAAGTATGCATCGCTGATGCCCACTTACAACCCCACTCCTCAAGTTCAGTCCTTCAGATGATGCATCCAAATGCATTCCTACTATGATGGCGCTTTTGACTCAATTCAATCTGGAATCATGACTGTCTGAAAAGTGTTATAGAATATCCTTGTGCTGCAAGACCATAGACTGCTCGCATGGTAACCAGGAACGGGCAGTCCGGATGAGCTGTATAGTACGCCAGGACACCATCGAGCAACATCACCCACCAGGATTTTCCCTAGGACAATGTTTCGAATCGAATTGAATTTCCCCCTTCTCCACACTAGAAAGGTATGATCACATCAACCCAGTCAAACGCGCCTATTCTCCTGTTCTCAGGATACATCACCAGCCAGCCCCACAAAATATGATCTCAGCGACTCGACCATATGACATCACAACGTCCAGCATCTGGTACTTATAAAGCTCTATCAATCTCTCACCACGACCAACACACATACTTCATTCAACCGAAATACAATACTCTAATTGACCTCACGCGATCTCTTACCCTCTCTTCAAATCTTCAACTCTCAAAAGATATCGCCAGAATGCCCACGGGAACCCAAAAATCTGGTAGCTCCTACGCCGGTGGCGGCCAGTCAAACGTCGGCCAGCCCTCTGTCTACGAGGCTGGCGACCAGCGCAACGAGCCCCAGTCTGTCCTTAACGAGCGCGAACGGTACCATGAGGGCCAGAAGGGAAGTCACAGGAACTTGGATTCGAGTATGTCTCTCCCATCGGACAACCAGCTTGGTATGGTAGCAAGATCATAGCTAATGAGAGTAGAGGATGAACGCTCGATTGCCAATAAGCTCGCTTCGGCGGAGCAGCACCCCAACCGTAACACATCATACGACCCTGAGGCAGAGTTGAGCAAGAGAGATCCCACTGCTCCGGTATGTTTCCTCTGTCGGCGACAAATAGTGTCTGCATGCTGATGAGTCTAGGCCACATTGCACGGCTTTGAGCCCTCGAAGGGAGCCAAGATCGACAAGGAGCTGCAGGAGGACGATGAGCAGCGGCTGAGAGAGAAGGGTATCAAGAAATAAATAATGGGTCCTTTTGTTTGACCATAATGCAAGGGATATCTGGATATATCCCTCTCACAAGAGCTATGAATATTTACTTAACGAGGAGCAAATGTAATGTTAGCTTTCATCTCAGACGAATTAATCGGCTGCTCATAGGCCGTGGCCTGTGCAATCTGTGTACATGCTAGGTGAAAAGTATGGTCAAAAATAATGTACATGCAAGATTAGAAAGGATATATACGATACAAGTGGCGGTATGTATGATCATCAACTCATGAGAAGCATGTTATGCTGGAATGTCCAATGGCGAAGCCCGTCAAATGACTCCGTGGGATGCAGGTGGGCAAGAAGCCTAGTATGTTCAAAGGAAATGGCGAGCCGTTGCGCAACGGCCGTGGAAATCCTTGAGAATGCCTTCAAAAATCTTGGGGGTGTTCAACCATCGGTAAACTTTGGATCGTCCTCATGTGGTTCGGCGAACACGTTCTGCCAGTAGCTCTCGACCTTCTGGCAAACCTCCGTCTTGTTTTTCCATGTCTGAAACTGAGTCTTGGGATCACAACTGACCCACTTAATCTCTTCCCAGTAGTTCCTCTCCACATCGTAGCCGAAACGGCTAACGACATCTTCTGGCGCGGTCCAGGCACGTCCTTCCGAGCCATCAGCTTTAAGCGTCGGGGTCGTGTCCCACTTCGTCCCGAAGACGTTCTCCGCCGGGTTAAACTTGGGGTAATGCGCATGTATGAAGAACACGCGCGGTGCTTTTCCCACGGAGGGATCTATGATCCGCCGTTTGTCCTGAGTGGTCAAGGCATAGTCTTCCACCGGGTCGGCCTGCGCCATGGCCGACCCAGAGAGTCCTTCGCCGTCCGGCTTCCAATGACCGAGAGCCTGCACTCTCTCGCTAACAGCATAGAACGGCTCTCCCAGTGCCGTTGCCGCCTGCAGAAATGTCTCCTTGTCCCCTTCCCCTGGAGCTCCTTGCGACAGCAGCCGGAAGTAATGCGACGGCCCGTAATAATTGTAGTAGGCGGCCAATAAGAGCGTTGTCAAATGAGCTTCCTTAGACACCAAAAAAACGCCCGTCTCAGACGACTGTCGAGCAGATACCGGTGGGATTGGTTGCCGAGAGAGTTCAAAGTATGCCGGAGATGCAGTCGACGCCCAGAAGTCGGGCCAAGTGACCATGCCGTTGGTCTTGAAGGGTTCCGAGTCAAACAGCTCTTCAGGTTTGTGCAACGGGAAGCAGTCCGCATCCATCCAGATGATCTCCTCGAACGACGAAAACAGAATCGCAAAGACCTTAAGTTGGTAATGCGCGATAGGGTTTTTCCCGACGATTTCTGAAAGGACCACGCACTTTGCACCTAGATCGGGAAGCACGCCATCACAGATCTTCTTCTCATATTCGGTTGCATCCTTCATGTATAATTCTACCGGTAACGTAGAGCCTGTACGGCGCAGCATCCGTAACGACGACAGAAACACCGGAAGGTATGAATTCCCCGCAGTCGAAACCAAGCCGCGCGTTCCAGCAGTGTGAGGTGAGCGCAACTTTTTCGATACCCGGACATCGCGAATATAATTCGCATGCGCTTCTTCCATCGCCTTTCGATCGTCGTCTTCCAGGAGGGTTAGATCCGGTCGCGCATCGGTTGAGGTGGCATTGAAATGGACCGCATGAGCATCGGCCCGGGCAACTGGGGACGGACAGTTTGGTGCATTCTTTTCTAGGATGGACTTGAGGGCTTTCCATAAGGTAATCTGACGTTCGGCGAGAGGGACTTCAAATGCGGTGCTGGGGACCACGGATGCTGGTGCTGGGGTCCAGTACAGATAAAAAGTCGAGATCAGAAAAATGGCGCCCGTGGCAAGGAGGAGTGACCTCAATCGGCCGAACCGGAATGTTCCCATGGTTGCGGTTCGTCAGTCAGCCGTTTGAAGAGAAGTTTTGACGAATGCCAGCGTTTCGAGAAGCGTTGCGGACATGGAGTCGTTGAGGTTTGAGTCCAGGTTGGGTGACAACTGACAACTCCGATGGTAAATACTGATCAGCTTAGAATAGCACGAACATTTTAGATGGCTAACGGAGGATTCTAGCCATTATCTGTAGCGTTCAAGGATAGAAAACGGAATGGAAAGCCTCGAGCCGAGGACTTTCTGCAATCAACAATAATATGGTCCATTATCCCCCATGGTTGCCCCCTTTTTCAGGTTTAGTGCCGGCCTAAGAAAAGCAGCCGAGATCTTAGTCAACTGAATATCGCTTGCTTATTTTATGCACATTCTTCTTTACAATAAATACACTGTGATGCCTGTGGCAAGGATAAAGGACTTCCTTTTCTAATATTCTCCTTTGTATTAGAACTTGATTTTCGCCATGCATTTGAGGTCTTTGTCTCTGTTCTGAGGGGTCCTGTATGCAAGTACGATAAAAGATGAGGCAGACGTGACGATCTTTACCCATCCCTTCCCTGCATACTCCTCGACATGATCTAAGAGCGACTTCATGGCAGCGTGCCTATTGTGGGTTGCTTTTTCCAGTGCCCAAATCGCGTTACCTTGGGCGGTTAGTTGCTGTTTCTCAATTTCGACCATCCTAGCATTGAATTGACTCTTTGTCACCGAACTTGGGGTAGTGGGGGTATCGGCATTTGCCCGTCTGGTCTACCTGGTCCAACAGCGTATCTCCGGGGGCTTGGGGTTGGTCCGGTCAGTGCTATGTCCATGGCTTTTGTCGAATTAGTGATAAAGCCTCTCCGGATTTCCCATCAACAATCAACTGCATGAAGGCACTTAGGGTGCCGGCATCCGCTTCGCCGAAAACACCAGGGGAACGTGCTATTTTGGGGTTAACCTTTTCTAACCCCATTTCGGATACAGTCCAACGATAGTTGCCGTTGAAAGGAAATTTGTTCACCTTCTCCTTGAGGACAACGTTGGGCAGACACCAATTTATAGGGACTGGCAAGCCGATGAGCAAGAACAGTAAGTAGTACTCCATAATCAATCCTCTATGACCTTACGCAGGACTTATCAAATCTATCTCTTAGGTTAACCATGGACAGTCACAAAACAAGAACCCTGCATCCGAGGGAGGTGCTTCACCAGGTTGCCGACTCAATGGATGGGCAGCACAACGAACTTTCTGTTACTCTCCCTGCACACACTACCTGGAGGTCGATATTTGTTCGAATTGGGCTACCCAAAACATTTTCCGAGGGTGAATCTGAAGCTGACTAGAGTGCTATCTTCCGAAGTAATCAACGGTTACCACTTCCGCGGGGCATCAAAAGTAATGATTCATCAATAACGCCGAGGGCTGCTTCCCCAATGACGGCGGAACCCTGCCCGCCGATAAGTGAGGCAGCTCGCGAGCGTCTCCGCGAGATGGCGAAAAAGGCTGCCAAGGCAGAATTCCGAGAGCCGTACGCATCACTCCAGCCAGCAAGCAACCGATCATGAAAAGGCGTCTGTATTAGTTCACAGACTGTACCTATGATCTCAACACTGGTGGATGGAACCTGCCATGGATGGTTGATCGAGGCCCTATCACAGCCGGCAGTTGGATGCTGCGCACCAGAAGAGAATAAGTCGACGCCTGAGTCGGAGTCCATAGTATGTGCATCTCCTTTGTGTTAGACGCTGGAGAGCCGATATCTCCTGCGCGGGTCCGGTGGCCTAGTGCCTGAGTTTCTGCAACGATGTCCATCATCATCCACATTCGTAGGCCCATGATGTCGTCCGAATCATCTTCGGCAGAATTGTGCGCTGCAGCCAGCTGCACTTGGTTGTGGAGGGCAAGATAGGCATCAATGTCTGCCAGAAGAGACTCGTCGAGCGAAACCGAATGG